TGATTGATGCCTAACTGTTCCCTGCTGGCCTGATTGCACCTAACTGCCCTCCCCTATTGGCTTAGTCACCCCTAATTGCCCTCCCCTGCATGCCTTTTTTCTCCCAACCACCATCCCCTGCATGCCTGATTTCCCTCGAATTGTCCTCCCCTACAGGCCTGGTTGCTCCCAACTGCCCTCCCCTGCAGGCCTAGTCCCCCAACTACCCTCTTCTGCAGGCCTGATCGCCCCCAACTGCACTCCCTGGCAGACCTGTTCCCTCCCAACTGCCCTTCCCTGCTGGCCTGATTGCCCACAACTGCCCTCCTCTGCTGGCCTGATTGCCCACAACTACCCTTCTCTGCTGGCCATCTTGTGGTGGCCATCTTGTGGTGGCCATCTTGTGGCAGCTATCTTGTGTCCACATAGGGGCAACCATTTTGACCACATGGCACAGCCATCTTGTGTGCTGGAGTGATGGTCAATTTATATATTACCTCTTTATTATATAAGTAACATAAAATAAACTCCAAACATTGAAAGTATACAATGTGATAAATTTTGGCATATGTATACATCCATGCAACCATCACCACAATTAAGATACCCATCCCCCGAACCATAACCTTAACTCTAACCCTCCTTCAATGTTCCCATTGCCATATGACCCCCAGAAAACCACTAGTCTGCTTTCTGTTTGTATAGATTAGTTTGCATTTTAAAGAGTTTTACATAAATGAAATCATATATTATGTACTTTTTTCCCCTGCCTTTTTTCACTCAATATATTTATTTTGAAATTCATTTACATTGTTACATTGTATCAATAGTTCAATCCTCTTAGTATTTATAGGTATTTCATTGTATGGATATAATATAATGTTTCTTTGTCCATTCTCCTATTGATGGACACATAGGTATTTCAGTTTTTAAATAGTCATGGCTAAGTATTTGCATGTGTATGAACTGTCATTTCTCTTGAGTAAATACAGTAAGTCCTCACTTAACGTTGCAAATAGGTTCTTGGAAATTGCTACTTTAAGCAAAATGAAGTATAAAGACACCAATGTTATCATAGGACTAGAGGCCAAGTGCACGAAATTTGTGCTTGGGAAGGGGGGTGTCCCAAAGCCCAGCCTGCACCCTCTCCAATCTGGGATCCCTCTCAAAATCCAGGATTGCTGGCTCCCAACTGCTCACCTGCCTGCCTTCCTGATTGCCCTTAACTGCTTCTGCTTGCCTGACTGATCACCCCCTAATTACTCCCCTGCCAGCCTGATTGATGCCTAACTGCTCCCCTGCCAGCCTGTTTGCCCCTAACTGCCTTCCCCTGTAGGCCTGGTTCCCCCAACCACTCTCCCCTGCAAGCCTGGGTCCCCCCTAACTGCCCTGCCCTGCAGGCCTGATCATCCACAACTACCCTCCCTTGCAGGCCTGGTCTCCAACTGCTTCCCCTGCTGGCCATCTTGTGTCCACATGGGGGCAGGATTTTTGACCAGATGGGGACAGCCATCTTGTGTGTTGGAGTGATGGTCAACCTGCATATTACTCTTATTAGATAGGATAGAGGCCTGGTGCACAAGTTGGGGCTGGCTGGTTAGTCTTGAAGGGTGTCCCAGATCAGGATAGGGGTTCCCTTGGGGCATGGGCAGCCTGGGCAAGGGGCCTGTGATGGTTTGCAGGCTAGCTACATGCCCTGGTGACCCAAGTGGAGGCCCTGGTAACTGGGATTTATTTATCTTCTACAATTGAAACTTTGTAGCCTAGAGCGAAGCCAAGCCTCCTGCTTGCTCAGTAGTGGCAGCCATTTCTGATGGGATTTACCTTCTATAATTGAAACTTTGTAGCCTGGAGTGGAGGCCTGGGCTGACCAGGGTGTTCGGAAAGCTTGGCTTCCTTCATCGCCAGGGAAACCCAAGCCTCTCCCCTGCTGGCTCTGTGGCTGCAGCCATCTTGGTTGGTATTAATTTGCATACTCATTCCTGATTGGCTTGTGGGTGTGGCTGGTAGGCATGGCTTGTGGGTGTAGTGGAGTGATGGTTAATTTGCATATTACTCTTTTATTAGATAGGATAATTGTTATAAACGAGAGTCAGGTTTTTATAGCATATTTCTGATCCCAAAAACATCACCCAATTTCTAAAGACCACAGACACGTCTAATATTAAATATTGAAGTAATGTGAGCTATACATACATTTAAGAAAAATTAATAAAAACAATTAAGATAATTACTTTCTAACCCACTGGTTCCAGTTCAGAGTGATGGGTGGCCAGAGCCTCTCCCAGTTGCTCAGGGTAAAAGGCAGAACCCACCTTGGACAGGATAACAGAGCACATTATAGGCACATGGTAGATTATTAGTGTAGATTATGCAAGGAGAACAAAGGGTAAAATATTTAACTGCAGCAGTGTTTGACTATATTCTGTGCAGTGAGAAAACCTGAAGCCATTTTCAAGGTCCACCATTTCTTACTTCATTTCAGTCAAGTCAAATTTCCAAACTTTCTAAATCTCCGTTTTTTGGCTAATGAACAGAAAATAGGATTCTACTAAGTCTCCTATCTACCTACTCTAGGACTTCTGTGAAGATCAAATGAGGTGAGACACGGGAAAACACTTCACAAACATTTGGTTAAACTGTAAGATATTTGTACCTGGCTAGCAAGTTGTGTTCCTGGGTTGAAAAAACTCCAAGGAGGCTAGTTGCTAGGCAGAGGAAGCTGGGTGTTGCTACGTGATGTTATTACCCAGCACCCTCAGCCACCATTTCTGCTGGGTGCCACTTTTTGTGCCATTGAAGCATCGGCTGCCATTTGGTGGGGTGTTGATTCTGCAGGGTGTCACTTTGAGGTGGTGGAAGGGCCTTTGTCCCACTTGGGGGAAGCCAAATGTTGCTTTGTCAGGTGCCAGGTCCACACTGCCGTTTCACTGTGTGCACATGGCCAGTGCACATCACGGTAGCTCTTGCTTCTTTGAGTGTCTGACCCTTAGTGATCAATGCATGTCATAGCAACCAGTCAAATGGGCTGAGGGACACTTAGCATATTAGCCATATATATACTAGAAGCCCAATGCGCGAATTTGTGCACAAGTGGGGTCCTTCAGCCTGGCCAGGGATCAGGGCCTGTTGGGGCCAGATGGGGGGAGGGACTGTGGAAGGTTGGCCAGTGGTGGGAGGTTGGCTGTGGGAGCTCACTAACCACCAGGGGGTTAGCTCCTGCATTGAGCATCTGCCTCCCTGGTGGTCAGTGCATATTATAGCTACCAGCCGGTCATCTGGTTATAATGGTTGCTTAGCCTTTTATGTATATAGATAGATTCCTTTCTTAATGTTTTCTTTTAAAAAATTTATTTTATTTACTTATTTATTGTTAATCATAATCTGAAGATATCTTTTCATTGATTTTTAGAGAGAGTGGAAGAAAGGGGGAGAGACAGAGATAGAGAAACATTGATGTGAGAGAGACACATTAATTGGTTCCCTCCCACATGGCAGGGGATCAAGCCTGCAAATGAGGTGCCCTTGACCAGAATCAAAACCAGGACCCTTCTGTGGGCTGATGCTCTATCCACTGAGCCAATCTGGCTAGGGCCCTTTCCTAATATTTTCTCTAATGAATTTAGTTTCCATTCTCATCCCTCTTGATTTTGGAAGTTCTCCATTAATGCTTGAATTGATTTTTAATCTAAGAAAGATGAGGTACAGCATTCCTTTCTGACACCAGTGGGTTTAAATAATTGTATATTACTTACTAATTCATTGAAGTGTCTGATTCTCAGTTTTGTTAATTCTGTGGGTCATGCATATGGTAAATGTAACATTTTGCAACGTAATCATTTTCATTAACCCGTGTGGCAACGAAGCAATTTTGACAAATTGTCATTGTTTCCTGTATTTCTTTTTCCGAAGTAGAGCCTATGACAGATAAACTTTTGTTGAGATTTCACTATGGCAATTAGATTGTTGACAGATTGTTCAAATGGAAATGAATGTAAAATACATAGAATATTCAAATTAATTATAACTGAATATCTTCAATCATTCTGATAATTTTGCAGGGTAATTTTACTGGCTATTAGTGAAAATATTTTAAAAACTCTAATTGGTGATGGTGGGGTGGCAGTGGGCTTGAATAGTTAGATTCAAGTTCTGAGAATGAACTCCTAAAATCCAAGGTTGATTAGCTTCATATGATCAGTGTTATACCTTCAGAATTCCACCTAACACCAAAACCTATATTTCAAACATAAACTTTAAGGTTGTTTCATGATCAAAGAGTTTTCCATCAGTTATGTTCAAGATATTTTGGCGATCTTGGCACAACCTCAAAGAATGATGGAACAGAATGCAGAGAACTTTTCTAAGTTTTCTAAGGCAACAGTTTGGCTGAGACCCACACACACACTGAAAAGAGAGGCTTTTTTGAAAACATATGAAAAGTCTTTTCTTATTTTGGAATTCTAAATTATGGCAAAAAAATTCAAATGGCTCAAAACTCAGTGCACTTCTTCTGCACCGATATTCCTCCCCAAATGATCCCCAATCATTTAACCAGTAAACGATTCCTGAAGCACTTGTGGTAAGCATTTCAATAAGGTGACTGTCCTAAAAGCTGTTTCAGTATATTCGGAAATCATTCCCTTTCATCCCATCTAATATATTTGCCTTTGTTTCATAGAAAGAAAAAGGTGAAGCAACTTAGAGATTTGGGGACATATCGCCAAATGACCTACACTTAAGCTGGTGTCGCTTCGCAAGATTTTGGTACCCAAAGCAACGGAACCAGGATTTAGCATCCTTCCTCTGATCACACATTTCTTAAAGCAAGCGTTCTTTCTGCACGTTTCCACATCCACAGTCCTCTACCCAACACCTCCTCCAAGCCCGCCCCCCGGTTCCTTCCCACTGTACCTCGCCCCCCCCACCCCGCCCCCAGCATGCGCATGCGTTCTAAGAACCCCCTACACTCACTGCAGAAGCTGAGAGTATTGTCGGGGGCTATTCTCTCTCCCAGGAACATGGCGGCGAGTCAGGGAGGTGGTGGTAACAGTGGGGGCGGCGGCGGTGGAGGTGGAAGTAGCGGTGGCTGTGGCGCTGCCGGAGGAGGCGGTGGAGCAGGAGGCGGGGGAGGCGGCGGCGGGACCGCGGTGCTGCCCATCCCGGTACCGACTCTTTTCGGTCAGCCTTTCCCTCACGGGCCGCAGTGGAACCCGGGGAGCTTGCAGCCTCAGCACACCGCGAGGAGCCTGGACCGGGCCCTGGAGGAGGCGGGCAACTCAGGCATCCTGAGCCTCAGCGGCAGGAAACTCCGAGACTTCCCGGGCTGCGGCTACGACCTGACGGACACCACCCAAGCAGGTGACAGGACAGAACTGTGGGGTGGCGAGGGAAAGCGGGGCTGAGAAGAGGTGGGGAGAATGGGTGGCTGCGTGGCTGTGTTGTTGGACTCTGCTGGTCTGGGCGGGAGCACGGGGCAGCTATACTGACAAAAGTCAGAGCAGCTTGTGAATGTGGGGGGCAGAGAAAGGGGTAGGGGAGGGGAAGGAATGCTGATTGAAGGATGTATGCAACCGGGTGTTGTTATGTGGGGGGTGAAAGAGCATTATTGTTAAAGCGAGTTTCCCTAGTAAGGGGTTGGGAGGGAGGTATTGACACCTTCCTTAATGCACTTCTTCCAACTCTCCTGGATGTTTCCATCTTTCCAGGAGTGGGGGAGAAGAGACAATACATAAAATCATAACCTACACATATTTCTTAAAGGCGTATGTGCCTGCAAGAATGGTATATCCCTTTTCATAGTACAGCAGCAGTATTGCCACGGTTTTGTGTTTTAATCATCTTAGACTATGCTCGTCTTCTTGTCACGTATGCCTTAAAGACCGACATTTTTCATTTTCCTGGTGTTGAGAAGGTAGTGGTGCTTAAATTAGTATTTGCTGCAAATTAAATCATTAATCACATGTCTGGTTACCAGGGGCAAGAATCTTTGTTTCATATTAGTCTTAATTTTTATAACAAAAATAGTTCAAAATTTTAAGAGCATTTTTGAGAAACAATGAGCTCCATTTTTTATGGAGTTGTGTGTTAATGGCTTATCATTTTGGATGAAAAATTGGCTATTGAAATGTTCTAGATATACTTACTTTCTGGTACTCTTTGTTGTGGATGGCATTTTTTGTTATGAATGCACTCTCTTTCCCCTCTGCCTTATAAACCAATGCTGAATATTTTAGGTGTGTTGAATATTTGGGTGTAAAGGAAGATTTTTTTTTTGCTTTTCATAATCTTTAAATTTGTTATTTATGTCTGCTTTCATTTGCTTTGCTGAAAGAAATAATGGACAAAATTATTTTGATAGTGTAGCAGTTTTGCAACAATGTAATAAGTAAATTCACCCATAATAAGAAGTAATAAATGGCTTCTTATTTTCCTAACACGATTTCAGTGTATTCAGTTTCTGGCTGTTAAATCAAAGTATGTGCTTGGAGAAAGGTGGGGAGAGAAGGACACCCTAAAACTGAATTATTCCACCCAATTAATCTTTTAAGAATTACCCTAAGAACTATAAATGTGTATTTGATCACTGATTTTGTATTCTGGAAAGCATGTTTGAATATTTCCTCCTTCACTCTGAACAGATTTCCTAGGCAGTATGTGCACATATTCATGGGTACATTTGGCAAGATATTATACTACTTGGTATGTTCTTCAAAGGCTTCAAGAGAAATGGTTTCAAACTGTCATTATTGGGATATATTGTTTTGCTTATTATTTTTTTATAACCTCTAAAGGATCTCTCTTTCTGTAGGACAAAGTTTAAGCATCTTAGCTTGGCATTCAGGGTTTTCTTTCACCGTCTGGCTCCAATTTACTATTGCAACTTTACCTCCCCCAAAGCTTCTACATAGAACCCTCTGTTCCAACTAGGTTAACTCCCTGTCCCTCAAATATTTCTGCCTCATCTTTGTACAAGGTCATCCACATGCTTGGGATTTACTTCCTTTCTCCATCTATTTAATTTTGTTCAAGGCCCAGTTTTTCCAAGAAACTGTCTCCAACTCCCTTAGTACTTAGCAGTCTCCTGTTTCTTTTGAATTCCCATGGTATTTATTGTCTTTACCATTTACTTGCTAGTATTGGCTTTATTTTCTTTTTATGTTTGTGTCTTTCTGTCTCTGAGGAGATGGAGAGCTCCTTAAAGGAAGCGAACAGGTTATATACTTGGTTAGTTTTCTCATTATATATTGCTTATGTTGTACTTGATAATATTTTTTTCATAAATATGAGTATCATGTGGTTATAATTGTTAGCTTTTAAGCCTTCAGTTGGTTTTCTGAGGCAGGCATTAATAGAAACCAGAACCATATTTGTTCTTGGTAAAGCATTCATTTATCATGAACTTTATCAGGGTCTAGAGTAACACCGGACTTTTTGAGATAATTCTACTTCATTTTACTTTTTTTCTTCAGGTGAATGTATGTTCCTTATGGGAACACATCAGAATTTAGATGAGAAATCTGTGTGACTCATTTGCTTTTTTTTTCTTCTTTTTGATAAAATTCAGCCATGAACTATTATATTTAGGGGCAGTATTTTAGTGTGTAAGGAGATTAGTATGTGTTATATATAAGTGAAAGATGAAAGTAGGTATACTGGAACTGAAGAAAAATAGAGCCTGTTTGAGATTTTATATACATAAGCACACATATATCCACAAACACATATACATAGATTCATCGAATATCCTTTGTTTGATTAGCACAGTTGTTTTTTGATATTGCTATAATTAAAATGACTCTCAGTGGGATAATGGTTCAGAACCAAACTGCTTAGACTACCATATAATGGTTTATTGGATTGGGAAGAGCCTAGAAAAAGAAGAATCTGGGTTTAAAAAAAATTAGATAAGAGGGTAAATTGATAAATTTCAAAGGAAGCAGGGAGAGCTTTTTGTATTATTTTGCTGTTCCTTACATATACATAAGATGAAATAGGCCATTGGTTCTCCACCTTGGCTGCACATTGAAACCACAAGGGAGTGTTTATCTTAAACAAAACAAAACTATCCCTGGGCCCCACCCCAAACCAATTAAATCAGAATCTTAGGGGTTAAGAGACTTAAAAAAAAAAAAGTCTTCTTAGTGCTTCTAATGTGCAATCAAATAACTCTAAATAACTTATTTTTTTAAGGCACTCAAGAAACATTTATTGTTTGAATGACTGAGAACTGATTAAAGTTTACTGACAAACCTAAAGCCATTAGTTAAGAGGATCAAAATCCAAAGTAGTGACTAAGTCTTTAAGTTCTAGTTGTGTGAAGCAGAGATTCATTTTTTTAAAAATCATGTGATGTCTATAGTGAATAAAAACTTACCAGGAAGCTATAGTTTTTTCAGTTCCCATGCATTGTTCTGGTTTACATTTAATACTGTTTTATAAATTTGCATTAAGAAAATAGTGCTCCCAAAACATGAAACAGCAAAATCTTGTTTTCTCTATTAATAGTCTTGCTATGAGGGAAAATGGACAGTAGGTAGCAGTTGGCAAAGTTTATCCTCTGTGTCTTTTTACCTCTACATTTCTGGGGCTTGTTATCCTTCACCTGCCCTCTCCTTCCTGCTGCCTTTCTTGTTTCTTTTTTTCCTCTTCAGCTTCACTCTGCTTCCTTTCCTGGGTTGGAGCTCAAAGCTAACCAATTATTGCAGCCTTCCAGGAGATTAACATTTAAAAGGAGCGTTAGCTAATTTACTTGAGTCTCCAATTGATGGTTTGTGCTTGTGACTTTTTTGAAAAGATCTGCCTGCCTGACAGGTTTTGATTAAAATCGTCACCCATATAAAGATGTAAAGTTGATAACTCATTTTGGGAAAGTAGTTGACTCTTGCAATATCCCATTTTTGATGATCTATAGGTAGGCTTGGCAAGACAAAGGGAAATTCCCTAGAACTTTTTTGTCTGTTTGGATACTGTGATAATCTGTTGGCCTAAAAAGAACTTGAAAATGATTTTAGTCGCATATTTGACTTTGTCACCCATGCTACAAATAAGTCTGAGCCTACTTGGAGCTGCTCGCTCTGCTTTTTCATACCTCTTTATATCCATAAACAATAGGTCTGTGAAACAGATTTATGAATTCTTACATACATCTGATTGTGCTGTGTCCTGATTAATCACATGCTTTCCTGTATACCAAGAGTCAACTCTAGTATTTCCTACATGTGCTGGTTCACCTCTTCAACTGTGGGGCATGGTCCATTGTATCAGGTTGTAAAATGGAGCCAGATAAACTTTGCAGCATCTGATTTTTTTAAATGGAATGTTATTTTTATTAGAGAAGTTTTATGTTCACAGCAAGATTGAGCAGAAAGTACAATGAGTTTCTACATATGTATAGGTTTCCCTATTATCAACATCCCCCACCACATTGACACATTTGTTATAATTTATGAACCCACATTGACACATCATTATCACCCAAAGTCCCTGGTTTACATTAGTGCTCACTCTTGGTGTTGTACATTTTGTGGGTTTGAACAAATATATGATAACATGTATTCACTTTAAGTGCTGTATGGAAGAGTTTTACTGCTCTCAAAACCCTCTGTGCTTTTCCTATTTATCCCACCTCCACCTCCTGGCAACCACTCATCTTTTTATTGTAGCAACATTTGATTTTCAGTGGAATGAGTTTGTGATTTTGTGGCCTGATTCAAATATCTGCTTTGTTTTATGTAAGAAATGTCTTCCTGAAAAATTCAATGTGAAGCACATTTCTGACAATTAACTCACATTTTAAAACTACATTTTTATTGATTTTAGAGAGAAAAATAAAGGGAGAGAGAGATAGAAACATTAATGATGAGAGAGAATTATTGTTCTGCTGCCGCCTGCATACTTCCCACCTGAGGATCAAGCCCGCAACCCAAGGTGTGCCCTTAACCAGAACCGTCCCCAGGCTGATGCTCTATCTACTGGCAGGCATTGACTCACATTTTAATTGCTCTATATTGACTTGAGTTGCTGGACCTTGTAGTTATTTCTTTTATTCAGTGATAAATTCTTCTATAGCATAAATATTTACCTTTTAATTTCTTCCCTTTGCAAGTTAAAAATGTTATCTTAAATTGCAGGGCACATTTTTTTCATTAAAATAATAGCATTTATATGGCTCTTTATAAGTTTTGAAGCAATTTCATATATATTATCCTATGTATCCTAATAATAACCCTGTAAGCTTGTCAGAGTACAAAGTACTCCTTGTTGAGAGAGGTTAAGTGATTTGCCCAAAGTTAAATGACTAGTGTATGGCAGAGTGTGGGTCAGAAGCTAGGTTTTTCAACTCTAGCACTCACTATTCA